CGTTCGGCGGCGGGACCAAGCTGGAGCTGAAACGTGAGTGCTGTTTTCTGCTGATTCTCTGCTGTTTCTACTTGATTTGCTTTTTATTCCTTTGTGTGGGTCTTCTTTGCTCAAACGTTAGGGATTAAACAAATTTCATTCCCAGACTAGAGCCTGAGGAAGGAAAGTTGTCCCCACAGAAGACCAGTCAAGGGCTCATTTTTAAGATTTCCAAATCAAAATGACTTACTTAGTGGGAGTAAGGGGTGGCTGGACTTTCAGAGCAGGGTTTTGTATGGGTGGAAATGAAGGAAAGTCACTGCGGTTCACTTTCGGCAAAGGGACCAAAGTGGAGCTCAAAAATGAGTATATTTTAGCTCAATTATTTGTGAGGTATCTATGACCGTTGGTGACATTTTGGTTAAATGGGCCATTTCTGGTGACTCAAATATAAATAGAAAACAGCCAACTTTAAGACGCGCAAGTCAACCAATTGTTGAGTTTGTGAGTTGAGTAGGATTTAGTATGAATGGGGAAAAGTAGTTAAATCTTAGCCTGAATAGACTTTCTCAGACGACTGGGTTCAGGAGGTTTTTGTTGATGGGCCTGTGAGTAAGATCTCACTGTGGCTCACGTTCGGCCCCGGGACCAAGGTGGAGCTCAAACGTAAGTGCCCTTTCCTGCTCCTTTTTCTCATAAAGTTGCAAAATGGGGGGCTTCGTGTTTAGGACATGAACTGAGGTGAATTAGGACAGAACAGGGTTCTTCGGAAGTTCAGATGAGCCAGGGACTGAAAATCAGTTTGTCTCAGGGAAGAACAAAGAGCTAGTGAGTTAACCCGTCAGCCAAACTGCCAGATTTCTGGTATCTCGGTCTACTGAGGCAAACGAAGGTTTTTAATTGAGGGAAAAGAAAGAAATTAAGATAATGTTGTGGATCACCTTTGACCATGGACATGTCTGGAGATTAAATGTAAGTAATTCTTCTCTATTGCCTTCTGAAATTTGGGTCTAAGTGCCAGTATCAATTTTTAACGACTAAGTATGTGTTTTGTGAAAGGAGACGCGTTTTAGCAGTTCCAAAAGTTAAACTCAGCTCCTAAAATTGATTTGTAGGCCAAAAAAAGTTAATTTAATCTCAAGAGACTAGCTCAAAGAGAAAAAATTAATGTAGATGAAGAAAGAAGTCTTATAGTGCTAAAAAGCAAAAATAAGTTAATTTTTTCAGTCAGTTTTGCCAAAAACTGTAATGATTTTTGCTCATTGTGTTTGCTAGAGAAAGGTAGAGAAATGTATTTCCTAGTCTGTTTTCTCTCTTCTGTCCAATAAATTGTTTTATGAGATAGCAAAAATCAATAACACATTAAAAATTCAATTACAAGTTAGAAAAGTTTACTTTTTTGCCATGGGAAAGATGCAGCTTAATTGAGAACTAGCAGCAGTTTAGACTCTAAAATGAGTGCTAACTGTCCACAAGATATAGCTCTTGTATATCTTGACAGCTCCAATTTTTATACTAGACTAAAGTTAAAATGATTTATCATAAGGAAGAAAGATGATGAGCCCCCAAAACTCAGTTTTGAGGAATTTTAAGTGAGGGAAAATTAAATAATTGTATTTTTAAGTACCCACAGACTTGTAGAAAAATAAGAAATATTTTAATGAGGATGTTCTTTTATTTCCTAGTTGTTATTTGGCCATAATTTTAGTCCGCCAAAGAGGTGGTACTGCAATTAGCGAGGTCTGTGGCCCTCATGAGTGACTGATTTTTGTGGCCATGGCGCTTTTGTGACTGAGTGGTTTTCGTGGCCACGGCATGCTCCTGGCTGATTTTCATGGCCACAGCACCCTCTGTGCTGATTTTGTGGCCACAGTACTCTCTGTGCTGACTTTCGTGGCCACGGTGCTCTCCGGGCTGATTTTTGTGGCCACGGTGCTCTCGTGGCTGATTTTCGTGGCCAGGGCGCTCTCATGGCAGTTAGCCTGGCCACTAAGGGCCTTGGCGAATCTCTGAGTGTCCCTTTAGCGCTGCTACAGCAGCTTTCCTGACACAGTGGTACAGACAATGCCACAAACAGAATAGAACAGAAATGCACTGGGCACTGAACTAACATTGGAAAAGCAGAAAAAAACTGATTAGAGATTTCAGAAATAAAATTCATATGCATTATTATATCCTCTTAATGAAAATTTCCATTGGCATACCTTAAAAGAACCTACAGCTATTTTTTTTCAGTGATACGCGATTTTACGTTATCCTCTCATCAAATCTGTTTAAATGATAAAGACTCAAACTCACAGAAAGAAATATATATAACTCAGGGTAAAATACACATCAGCAAAAATCTAATGTAAGGTCAGCAGTCTGGCTACTCAGATTTTGTTTAATTAATTTTTACATAATTTATAGTAACTATCATGTGAATGTACTGATTTTTTTTAAGGTAAGGTGAGTTTGTGACATGTTTTTCATTTTCAAAATTGTACTTTTAAATTACAAAAATTTAATGGCATGCGAACTGTTTTAAACTAAGTATTTTAAATTATTTTGAAGCTCTGTGGAAGACCTTTTTAAAATTGTCCATGTCTATGATTTTAAACTCCACTAAAAGTTAATATGATGTCTTTCAAGAATTTCCATCTTCAACATACTAATTATTTAATACCTTAATGCAGGTTGGAAACTTTAAAGCTATCAAAGGTTTCTCCAGATAGAAATATCTTTATAGAACAGTTCCTCTTCCATTTTTGCTAGAATTCGCCTGATGTTACTACCAAAGTTATTTTATAAAATCTCTGAAAAAGTTAGTAATGAGGTTAAAAGAAAAATACATTAAAGTGTAAGATATTCAGTATCTTACATTAAACTATTGGTTAACGTGGAGTCTAACTATAGAAAAGCCTATTCAGATATTTGCTGACTTGTTCCAGCAAAAGTTTTGATTTGTTATTTTAACTCTTACGGTCCTGCCCCAGGGCTTGACCGCCCATTGAGGGGGATTTCCAGGAGACCATCTGGCAGCTGCTCATGGTCCGAAGTGAAGCTAGCTAGTTCCTCCTTGGCAGGTGGTCAAAACTACAGTTGACCCCTCCCGGCTGGCTGAACCCAGACTGTGTGGTGACAGCATCAGCTCAGGGCCCAGGCTCTCTCTGAGCCCTTGGAGGAGTGGGGGTGGGGGCCTAGAAGATTGCAGATCTGATCATGAAGGGTGAAAAAGCACTTCAGCATTCCAAGGGACTAAGACAAAATGGCATTTGTGTCTTGGTTGGAGGCACTGAGTTTCCTGTAGGAAGCTGAGAACAGTTGAAGGAAAGAAAGGTTAGGTCAAAAAAAAAACCTACCTCTGCATGGCCGCAGAGTTGGGACAGAACAATTTCAAATGCTCTGAAAGGGCATGGGACTCATAAGAGAAATTCAAAATCAAGGTTATATATATGCTTCCTCCCTGCCTCATTGCTACCTTCACAGAGTCAGCACGAGGCCCTCTGCTTGTCTGTCCTGAAAAGCCCTGAGGTTGCTCACGGACAGCGCACCCTCTGGGGCATGTCCCTGTTACTTAAACTCTACTCTCCCTGCTTCCTTTTCCAGGAGATGTGGCTAAGCCTTCTGCCTTCATCTTTCAACCATCTGATGATCAGTTAACCACCGGAAGTGCCACTTTGGTGTGCATGGTGAATAACTTCTACCCCAAAGACATCAGTGTCAAGTGGAAAATGGATGGTATTGCCCAAAATAACGGCGTGGAAAACAGTTTCACAGAGCAGGACAGCAAGGACAGCACCTACAGTCTCAGCAGCACCCTGTCGATTCCCAGCACAGATTACAATAGTCATAATATCTTCTCCTGTGAGATCAGCCACCAGAGCTTGAGCTCCCCCCTGATCAAGAGCTTCAACAAGAATGAGTGTTAGAGGAGAGGCCTCTCAGGCCCCATCACCCCACCTCAGTCCCAGTCTCCCCCACTCAGGTTTCCCACCCTTTTCCCACCCTTCCCCCCCCATGGCAATCTCCCATCCCTCTCCATACTTTGTCCCCCTCCTCCTCTTTGGCTTTAATCATGCTAATGTTGGGGGAGGGCAAAATGAATAAATAAACTGTATCTTTGCACCTGAGACTTCTCTCTCCTTCTTGTTTTAATGGTTATTACAGTGAGTCCTCACTTAACAACATGGAAAGTTCTTGGAAACTGACTGTTGAAACAAAATGTATTTAAAAATAATTATACCATAGGCTAGCTGATATAAAAAGAGTTAAATTTCTGGTCACAAGAACATCACCAAACTTCTGAACAACCATTTGTTCCTTTCCAATCCACTCATTCCGGTTAACAGCTTCAGGGTAACAGCTGAACTTCTGCAGCTGAGGGGCAAGACAGGACCCCACCCTGGATAGGACACCCTTCCATCCCAGGGTGCGGGTGTAGACCCCCATGCTCATGGGGACCTGGACAATTGAGATACATGAACCTCACATGCACTTCTTTGGGATTTGGGAACACCAAGTTCTCAGACAAAACCAAACAGACATGGAGAGAACCTACAAACTCCACCCAGACAGTGGCCTTGGCCAGCTATTCATTTATTCTTTCAACATCATAACAAAACAGTGTTGAATGAAGTGACTTTATTTAAGGACATGCTATACTTTGTTTTCCCAGTCACCCAGTTTATCTTCTAAGAAACTATATATTGTATTGTTATAAAATACCACATCAAGGGCCCTCCAGGTGTGCAGGGGTTAACGTCTGGGATCTATCAAGCTATTCACAGTCACTGCAGCATGAGTTCCATCCCCAGCCAGGAAGCTGACACACGAGACCCACATCCCACAAGGAGCAGCAGACCTCTCCTGTCTTGCCTGCTGCTCCCCTCAGCAGTGTTTCCGTGGATCTGCCTCTCCCCACTGTCTGCCACTCTGTCTCTGATGAATCCTCTCGTCCCCTCTCCAGGAACCTCTGGCCTACATCCCAGCTCTTGTATAATAAATAAATAAAAATAACATCATTAAGATAAATAAATAAAATGTAACATCATGCCTAAAAATAATCATCCTCCATTCCACCTACCCTGGTGACCTCTTCAAGATACTCCATGAACTCCATGAGCCACCCTTCTTCATACCTGCCCCATTGGGGGAGAGACTTGCTCCTGTTGAACCCCTCCCCCCCCCACACACACTAGATTCCTTTGAAGAGAGGCAGTTCTTACAGTCACATGTCCTTTGATTTAGTTGAACCTGAGAATTTACTCAGCAAATTAAAAAAAAAAAAAAGCAAGCGCTATCATGTTATTTATTGCAACATTATATAAAATAACAAAACAATGAAAACAACTGCAATGAATAAGTAACAGGCAAATATCTAGTTCCAACGGACTCCAGCTTGATAGAGTTATTTCTCAATCACATTTTTAAAGTTCTATTTGCCAAAGACAACATAGTTCTTTCCACCATCAATTTAATTCTCACACTCTAAGCTAAAAATGTTCATCAAAATGTTGGGCCAGTTCATGAAAATGTTAGGCAGGTTCTGTAAAATTGAACTATGTTCAATTTCAATAACCTGGCAACCCCAGGTCCCTGTCTGCCAGGGGGGAAAAAAAAAGTATGCAAGAATTTTCAGAGTTATTTCATTTATAAAAGTCAAAAACCTGAAATAATCCAAATGTCCAGCAACAGAAGGATGGATCAGCAAGGTATATTATATTTACATACAAAATTGGAAACCACTCCCTAAGAGAAATGAATGAACTACAACTCTATCCGAGGACTTAGCTAAATCTCACAAAAATGACAATAAGGAAAAGAAAACAAATACGGAAGAAAAATGTTCTATATATTTTCACTGATACAAAGTTCAACATCAGATAAAAATAAAACTAGAAATTGGGATGGGGGCTACTTTTGACTGGAGGTGGAAGGAAGTACTCTGTAAGAGGAGATAAGAAGGGGATTTGGTGGATTAGGTGATAAAAGAATGTGCCATTTGGTGAACATTTACTGAGTTGTATCATTATAATCTGTGTACTCTTTCTTGGGGGGAGGGGGGGTAAATATAGATTCGACTTCCAAAGCAGCCTAGGGTCAAATCCCTACCTGCCTAATGTCTTTCTGCCTTCCAGTGCTACATAGAACAGAGGGCAGACAGGCCACCTTGCCACAGATTGCTCCCCTCTCTGGCTAGATAGACAGAAATGGAGTGATGCAATGCAATGGACTTCAGCAAGGTGACCAAGGACAGAATCTTGTCCAGTTATTATGACTCCATGTATGAGGTTATATATTGGGGTAGGGGTACATATAAAATCAACTGTGAACCCCACAATCCCTAGTTCTGTGTGGGCACCCCATCCACAGCTCCCACCTACCCACCCATCCAACAAATATTTACTGACCCTTTCTCAGTCTCTACTCTGAATGAGGTACAGAAGCAACTAAAACCATGTCCTCCTCAATAAATTTGTAATCCAGTTTTCCTACAGGATGGGAGCAATGGGAAAGGACGGTTGTGGAAAAAAAGAGGTGAGGAAATGTCAACATTCTGCCTGCTAACAATATTCATTATTATAAATCTTTGAAACTTAACTCAAAAAGACTATTCAAAAGGCCCTTCAAAAGACATCAACTTGCTCACTCATCCCTTGGGGCAAAATTCAGCAATCAAAGGCATTTCAATGGGGACTATGAATAGAGGGCAAATCTTTCCCTTCAAACTCAGAAGCAGGGGCCGTCCCTGGTGGCCAGCGGGTTAAAGCACAGCACTAAGAAGCTAAAGCCACTTCCGCATGAGTTCGATTCCCGCCTGCCCCGGAGGTGACCACATGGCTTGGTCAGAACTCTCCTGACCCGCCCGTTGCACCTCTTAGCAGTGCACTTCGTCGATCTACCTGTTCTGCTCCCCACTCTGTCTCTGGTGAATCCTCTCACCCTCGGCATCTCTGGCCTGTATCCCAGTTCTGTATGCACAAATAAATAAATCTTAAAAAAAAAAAAAAAAAAAAAAAGCACAGCACTAAGAAGCTAAAGCCACTTCCATATGAGTTCCATCTCCCGCCTGCCCCTGAGGTGACCCACATGGTGCGGCAGACCTCTCCTGACCCACCCCCGTCTCCCCTCAGCAGTGTACTTTGTCAGTCGGCCTGTTCTGCTTCCCACTGTCTCTGGTGAAGCCTCTCACCACCCCTGCACCTCTGGCCTGTACCCCAGTTCTGTATGCATAAATAAATAAAATCTTTTGAAAAAAACTCAGAAGCAGAACCCACATGACCTGAGGAAGTAAAGACAGGAGGTATTATGGGTTGAATTGGGTCCTTTAAAAAGATGTATTCGGCCCTCCTTGGTGGCACAGAGGGTTAAAGCGCAGCATTGCAAGCAAGCCACAGCCACTGAAGTGCAAGTTCGATCCCCAGCGCAGAGATGAGCCACATGGCGTGGAAGGCCTCACCTGACCCACCCGCTACTCCCCCAGCAGTATACCTTGTCCATCTGCCTGTTCTGCTCCTGTTACCAACACTGGTCTCAGTTTCCCTCAGCCAATAAAAGGAAACAGAGTTTGAGGAAAAGGAAAGTTGTTTTATTTGTCGACAAATGAGGAGGGCAGCAGACTCGTGTCCGAAAGCCACCGTCCTCCTCTTTGGCAAGTTACAGGGCTGTTTATACAATGTTCAACAAAGAAAAAGGGAGGTGGGCGAGTGTCCCCAAAGGGCAGGGAGTAAAAGTTAGTGCTGGATCCCACTCCTAGGTATCTACCCAAAAGACACAAAAACACTGATTGAAAAAGATACTTGTACCCCCATGTTTATTGCTGC